TTTACAAAATGGTTTGCTGTGCCTTCAGATCCTCCAGTATTCCCAGCTCTAGATTAAGCAGTTCTGCTCTGCCATCACCCTTCCTTTGTCTGCCTTCAGCAGGAAGAAGTCACAGCAGTCATTGAGCCTTACCCCTTAAGACTGTGCAATGGAATGTTTATACTGAGAAAATCGGAGCCGTGCTTACAGTTATCTTTTGCTGGAAAAAGCCTAGTGAATCTCCAAAACTTCCCTAATCTTGCTCCTCTCCCTTCAAGACTGATGCAAAACAACAGAGTACCAGCTATCAGGTTCCATCAGATAATGATAAAAGCATCTTAAAACTTGGGTTAAGATGGTCTTCCGTCCACAATTTTCTTGTTCTTCCTGGCTTACCAAATATATCTTTTTCCTTACCCCAACAACTTGTCCCTGATTCCTTAGGCCTTTTACAGACAGCAAGTAAACAAATTTGAGTCACCTGTGATACCATCTTCATTTGGATTATTGGTTCAAGAATTCCAAATTAAACTGATGATAATTATTCAAAGTAAAGGCCTGTTGCCTAAAAGAAAACAGTTAATTAACTTAGCATTGCAAATTCAGTTATAAACAGAAAACAGCATCAAAGTCACAGACAAATACCCAAAAATAGGAGGTGAATCACAGGGATTTGATCAAGAAACAACATTCCCAGATATATACTGAGAGCCAGAATACATGTATCTCAATCTCCACAATTCAATGACAGATGGTCCTGAATCATTTCAAAAAGTTGATTAATCTGGCTGGGCACTGCTGCTCATGCCTATAATCCTAGCTACTCAGGAGGCAGAGATCAGGAAGATGGTGGTTTGAAGCCAGCCCAGTCAAAAAGTTTGCAAGACCCCATCTCAACCAATGGCTGGGCATAATAGTGCACATCTGTTATCTCAGCTACAAAGAAGGATGAGATCAGGAGGATCATGGTTCCAGACTAGCCCAGGAAAAAAGCAAGACCCTATCTCAAAAAAAAAAAAAAAAAACCAAAGCATTAATAATAATAATAATAATAATAATAACAATGAAATGACCAGAGCAAAAAAGTGCTGGAGGCATGGCTCAAGCAACAGAGTGCATGAAGCTTTGAGTTCAAACTCTAGTACCACCAAAAAAGTTTTTGATTAACCTGTATATACATACCAATGTACTCATGGCTGAATAGGCAAGGTAGGGGTATCAAAAAAGCACAGTATTTGTCGAATTACTTAAATGAATTAAAACACATTATGAACTGTTTTCTCAGGAAACTGCAATATAGTTGAAACATAAAAGTAATATAAAAGTTACTGATTAAATACTTAATAAGTATTAAATACTTAATAAGTATAGTATGTTTGTCAAAGTTAGTTTCTTAACTTACATATATTTCCACTCAAAAAGCCTGGAAAATGTTTTAGTAATGTAAAGTATAATTCTTGAATATCTTGAATAGTCTTCTCTGAATAATAGAGCATATAAATTTACTGACCATTTTTGCAAAATTATACCCAAAAGTAATTTATAACATAATTCTATCTCTAAAAAGTAGTTACAACTCCTCATAAATTGAACATGAATTCAAGTATAAAATAACACAAATTTTAAAACTTAAATGCAAGATATTAATATTTAAATTTTTTTAATTAACTTTAACCATTTTCTCTCTTTTTTTAAATGCTAAACACAGATTGGATTATGGGCCCTTGGGGTATATAACAGTTATTGATGAATCTTCTGTTAAGAAGTCATTGAAGTTTTCAAATCTCTGAGTGTAAGGCAACAGCTAGCAAATAATTACAGATTTAAATTATAAATTCTACCAGGTCAATGAGAGATGCTGGAGAATTCACCTGGAGTGCAGTAGTGCAGGTTTATTTCACGTTTCAGCATCTCTCCTTGATGTAGACTGAGGAAGACTAGAACAGTTAAAAAGGTTCTAATCTTAATACATACACTTTAAGCCTATCTGTGGCCTACATGTTAGAGTCATTAAGTCATTGAAATGCATTCTGTCTTCTTTTTCATTTTTCCTTCTGGTTTGTGTGTATGTGTGTGTGTGTGATGCTGTTCTCTTCCATTACATTCTTCTGAAAACAAGAATGAAAACAAGTATAATCAAGGCTGAAATAAGTATAATCAAGGCTGAAAACAAGTATAATCAGCCTTGTGATTAGATTTCAGAACATGACAAGACCAGCAAAAACAACTCAAAACTGAGTGGAAAGTCATGATGAAGAAGTGCAAGTAGCAAGAACAGTAAAGAGACAGCACAAGAAAAACTACCTACTTAGCCCCCATAGGGTCTCCTACCTTAGACACACCACATTTGAAACTATCCTTAGTGTTACATTTTCTCTGTGTGCCTGGAAATGTTAATGCCTGATAAATTTAGTAGACAATTTATTCAATACTAACCTTACTCACTCTTAACTTTCTCAAATCCTAAACAAATTAATCCAAGAAAAGAAAACTATTTCAGCTGGGTGCCGGTGGCTCATGCCTGTAATCCTCCCTAGCTACTTAGGAGGCAGAGATTAGGAGGACTGTGGCTCAAATCCAGGCTTGGCAAATAGTTCACAAGACCCTATCTCAGAAATACCCAACACAAAACAGGGCTGGTGGAGTGGCTCAAGTGGTAGAGTGCCTGCCAAGCATGTGCAAGTTCCTGAGTTCAAATCCCAGAACCACAAAAAAAAAAAATTTTCAAAGGTAAATTAAGAATAAATTTAAGGATCAAATCTTGACTTTTTAAATTTATTTTTTATCATATTATTGTTGTACATTGTTGTGACATTTACAAAAGTTCATACAATATATCATAGTTGAATTCACTGCCCCCATCATTCTCCTTTATCCTCCTTTACCTCTCTCCCCTAATTCCTAGAATAGTTTCAACATTTTTTATTTTTCCATTTTCATACATGAGTAAATATTTTTACCACATTTACCCTCTTACACCCTTTTCCTTATATCCTCCCCCCTTCCACTGATACCTACTTCCAGACAGAAGCTGTTTTACCTTCCTGTTCTCCATTTTTGAAAAAAGGCATTTTTTTTGTTTGAGATAGTTATACATGGAGTTTCATTGTGACATTTCCATGTATATATGTATTATAATCTGAATTGGTTTATCCCCTCTATTTTTCTTCTTTCTTAGTCCCCTTCTTATGGTGTCAAATCTTTTTATAATTTTAATTATATTATTGTTGTACTGGGGGTACATTGTGACACTTACAAAAGTGCTTACAACATATCTTAGTTAGATTTACCCCTTCCATCATTCTCCTTTATACCCCTTCCTCCCCTTCCTAGAATAATTTCAACAGTCTCATTTTTCCATTTTCATACATGAGTATAGAGTATTTCTACCATATTCACCCTCCTACAACCTTTTCTTATCCTCCCCCCCCTCACTGGTACCAAAATCAGACAGGACCTATTTTACCTTCCTGTTCTTCATTTTTGAAAAAAGACATTTTTGTATATTTAAGATAGCTCTACAAGGAGTTTCATTATGATATTTCCATGTATGTATGCATTATAACCCAAATTGGTTCTTTCCCTCATTTTTCTCCCTTCTACTCTAGTCCCTTTCTTATGGTGTCAAATCTTGATTTAGAGCAAAACTTTAATTTATAATACACTTGAATTTATTAGTATAGCCTATTCAAATTATTGTGCGAACTTTCAATATATAATTAAATCTCTATTTACATAAAATAATGTTCAAAACAACTGTGAAAGATTACTTTTTAAAATATAATATTTAAAACCTTTTGAAAGATGGTAAATAATAAAAACCAACATGTATACATTGAAATATCACATTATTTCCACAACAGGATGCTGTCTTATAGTTTATATTCAGTTGCTGTCTTTATCTCTATTACCAAGAAAATATTCTCCTTTAAGACTAATGGCTTTCAGGCTGAGGATGTAGCTCAGTGATAGAGCACTTGCCTAGCATCTGCGAGGCCATGGGTTCAACTTCTAGCACTAGAGAGAGAGAGAGAGACTGAGTCTGTTTTTGCTCAACTCATCATATATTTATTTTTTATAATTATTATCTTTCTAAAATTTTAGGCTAAGAATCATTATTATAGTGACTAAAATAAAACACTCTTAATGTTATAATTCTTATACTTTTTTCACTTTTGTTTTGTTTTGAGACAGGGTCTCACCATGTTATCCAGGCTAGCAAACTTGCTATGTATACCAGGATGGTCTCGAACTTGTGATCATCCTGTCTCAGCCCCCTGAGAGCTAGAATTACACACATGTACCACCACCCCCACCCCCAGCTTCTTACGCTGTTTTTAAGAAGCTAACTATCTGGAGATTTTTGTGGATAAAAATACACTAAGTTCACAAGCTCTATGCATCTCATTACTATACCAGATACTAAAACCATAAGATAAGGATTACTCCTTATCATTTTTGAGAATTTCTGTGTAATGGTTCAATTGTACCACCCTTAAATTTGCAGATTATTTTGCCCAGCTGCTCAAAAATGAGTAATACACTCAAAATAATCACCTCTGAGGCAAGAAGATTCTAAATTCAAAGCCAGCCTAGCCTACATAGCAAGAACCTGCCTCAAAAAAACAAAAAAAGGAAATCAACTTTAAATTCATGACTTTGACTTTATTATTTTTTTCCAACCTCTGTAAAAAGTGATCATCTAAACACATTAGAAAACAATGCAGTGCAATGCAGGGTGTGATAGCACACACTAGTAATCTCAACACTCAGGAGGCTGAGAGATCAAGAGTTTGAGGCCAGCCTGGGCTACATAGGGATAACCTGTCTCAAACAAACAAGAAAAAAAAATGCAACGTTTATTGTGAGCAGACTTGCTAAAGTACTGACAACTAATGAATGTTCTGCAAATACTTTTATTTTGGCAACAGCCCAAAAGATCAGCTTCTAGAAAATTCAGCCTGATACAATGAAATAATTATCACAATTAGAAAACATAATTTTTCCATTTTGAGGCAAAATATATAGATAAATACTGGATTATATCCCTGGTAAAATGTCTTCATACTAAAATTTCAATAACCTATAAAAATAGATGCTACAATAAAATACAAATTGATCAGACCTTATTTTCAAATATATTCATATAAAATTAGAAATCATTATTTGTAGCATTAAAGGTCTGATTAGCAAATGTGACCCATGTGCACAGGTATGACTGTCCAATCAACAGCCGAACAAAGTATGTCCTTGATTCTAGCCACCATTACAGCTGCAATTACATGGTGAGTTGCAATCCCCCATCCACAACTAGAACATGCCCGGTAACATACGGCGATTCTAAAAGAAACACAACCGCATGTGCCACCTCAATAGTTTCACCAAACCTCCCAAGAGGAATGTTTTTCTTTAAATGTTCTTCTTTCAAGTCCTTAGTCATATCTGTATGAATGAATCCTAAAAGAGAAATGTTTATTCAGTGAAAAGCATAGACACAACAATACCTGCTCAACTTAACTAAAAATAAATTTGCTTCTGAAATTTTGAGATTATTAATAAACCTTGGTTAGGAAATATAAAATTTAACTAAGTCTATAATTTTATTCAGTTTAACTCAATGAACATCTATTGACTCCCAAGTATTTGGTCCAACTCCAAGTGGGGAAAAAAAATAACATGGCAGAATGTAATGGATGGATACAAACCTGAATAAAACAAAATTCCATTCTCCTTGGGCAACCTAAAATTGATGAAGGAAGCAGTCATTTGCACACCCAATTACACTGTAAGGAAATCTGGTGAATACCCTTATAGAGATATAAATAAAATCCCACAAAAATGATTAGTTTTCACTTGAATACGGGTGTAAGAGTGAGATGTAGTATTGAGAGAAGTAAAGTATCTCAAAGGTGGTCACATGAAATAACTTGGCGATTCATTAACATTTGCTATAGCTAAGATACCTGATGTCTGGAAAGCCTAGTATTTCTAATACTTACAGAAGGAAAATGGAAAATTATGGTTATATCCAATTCTGATGCGTGTATACACAAAAAATACAAAATTTAACTTGGTATTGGTACATATGCAATAAAGTTTGCAGAGCATATGTTCTAAAATATAAAGTTCTACAATATAAAGTATTACATATTACATTAAGCAACTAATTCTAAATGAATATAGATATAAGCCGGGAATAACTATAGATTTAATAAGAAAATCTTATTTGGCATTGTACAGAAATTAATAACCCTATCAGTCTAGAAATATTATACTTAACTGCTTTCTATTTATACAGGGGTAATGCATTGTATTAAATATTTAAGGTCTTATCTACCTAGATTTGATTACAGAAACTAATAAAAGTATTCTCTAAATAAAAATAAAGAAAAAGAAAATCTTATAAGATTAGCCTGAAACATACTAATCTTCATAAAAGCAATAGCAATCAGGAAAAAAATTTAAGTTCAAGGTCCCAAGAAACAGATGGACTTAAAGTCAAGCCCCATGAAGTGAAAGTTCAATGAATAACCTCAAAAATGTATTTTTTCAAATAGGCCATTACCAGGCACAGTGGCTCACGCATCTAATCCTAGCTATTTGGGAGGCTGAGACTAGGCAGATCAAGGTTCAAAGCCCTCCCAAAAACTCTGAGCAGGAAAATCAATGATACATTTTAATCTAAACACACACACGTGCACACACACACACACACATACACACACAAGAAACTACAGTAGAAATGGCTTTTAAGAAAGACCTTGTGAGTTTGGCTTAACAAATTCCAGGCTCAATTTGTAAGTGGCTCTTACGGTCTTTTCTCAAAGGCAGTATTTTGTAGTAAAAAGACCACTGGATTAAGATACATTAAACTAGATTATTCTGTTCCCTGATCCACTAATACTATCAAAGCTATGACCTGAGGAAAATAATGCACTATCTAAAACTATACAGCTGTTTCTGTATTATAAAATGAAGTAGATTAAAAATGATAGATCTCTAAGGTTTCTTTCTTTTAGCTCTACAACACCAATTTGAATATAAAATGTTTGCCTCATTAAGTAGTCTTCATAACTTCCTAACTCTACTTAAAATTTAGGAAAGAGAGCTTCCCTCAAAGGGCCCTCTGTTCTTACACTGGTAGATGCATTGAGATTAGAATAGTTGTAATTCAAAAAGTGCTGATGATAATCTGGGTTTTCACCCATGCAGTGCTGAGAGGAACTGATCTATCTGCCCTGCTTCTAGGTGGATATTAGTTGTGATGTGTTTGTCCCTTTGGAGACAAAGAATAAGGCTACATACCTGTGAGAGGCTAGTGGAAAGTAGCCCCTGGAAAAAAGCAGATCTAGAACAAGGCATGAGGTACTGAAGGCAAGCCTTAAGTAGAGAGACAAATTCAAGGACAGTCCCAATAAGATGGAAAGATGACCTCCACTTCACAGATTGTGGGCTATGAGGAACAGCCCTATCCTCTAAAAATAACCAATTGAGCAAGCTATATGGAATATCTAATAGCTAATATCTTGAAGCTTTTAATAAGGTCTTGTTAACCTTATAGCCTGTATAGCCTAGATTCAGGTCTACAAATCAAAGATAAGATCTATGCTCATGTTAGGCAAGATCTGTAAAAGAGAAAATGGTATCCTCTGGGTCCAGTATGATTACAAGAAGGCCAGAACTGGGATCATGATGTTCAGCCACCCACTTCATAGGATATTCTCCCTTCACTGCTCAATCTTGGAAGAGGATGTTATTTGGTCAGAAGAAGCTTACCACAGTCTCTCCCAGACCTACAAACAGATACCTGGAATGAAAAATCTCATGGAACAGATGCTAGCCACCACCGAACTCTGTAATGAAAGTCTAGAAGTAACGTGGATAGGAGAGGTCAAGGTGAAAGGAAGCAAAAAGTTCACCCATATAACTGCTTTTTCCTCTTAGATTATGTTTAATATGGAAGACAAAAATATGCCCAAAGAGCCCTGATGCTTTCTTTAAAATAAATTTTATCTTTTCAAGCAATTTTGGGTTTACACAAAAAGCTTCTATATACCACCTTTATCAACACCCCCGCACACATATACACTTTCCCCTACTTTTAACATCTTGCCTTAGTATGGTATGTTATACTAATGAACCAGTATTGAAACCTTATTAAGTAAAATCCATGGTTTATATGAAGGTTCACTCTTAAGATAGTGCAGGTTTATGTGTTTGGATAAATGCATAATGTCATGTGATCAATCATTACAGTATTGTACAAAATAGCTTTTCTGCCCTAATCTATCTGCAGTTTTTCAAAACTCATACATCTGTCCCAGTTCATCAGAAATTAAATGACAATGTGAAACTAGTTTCTAATGATAACTTACTCTGGGCTTTACCAAATGTCAATGTTATTTTATACCACATAATCCTCATTTATAAATATATTCACAACCCAAGGTAGTACGTATACACAAACTTTTGGATTCTACAACATATATCATAGGCCAGAGGAGAAAGGGTAGTGGTCCTTTACATACCACATACCCATCATTATGCTTGTGCTACTTTCCAGTTCCTGTTTTCTCTCCTTGACCCCCAAATACTCTTTGCCTTGTCATTCTTTCACCTTATTGGCAAAGTTCTGGAAATTCTGCTCTGTTTCTTCCTCTACATATTTATATTTTGACAATGACTTTAAAGCCAGGCTCTAAAAATTATAAACTAACAGTAGGTGTCACTATCCAACAAACGATGCATTACTTTATTGGATGCTTAGAGTGTCCAGCTGGCTACAAAGCTATCACTCCTTAAGTAAAAAAATAGATAAGTGTGGACTTCAGTTTTATATATATATAAAGCTAAACTTTTAAAAAAATTAAGAGATAACAGAAATGGCATGTATTCAACCAACTTAGAACAAGGACACTTCTATTTTAGTACCATATATACACACACCCTACACTCTTTTTGTCTTTTTTGTGGCACAAAGGATCAAAGCCAAGGCCTTACGCATACTGGGTAAGTACTCCACCCCTGGGCCACACCTCCTATGCCACTTTTTAAATATGAACTCTTTAGTAAGAGGGAAGCTCTTGCTCATAAAAACAACTTCTCTTATCCAATGACAACTTCTTTTGATAAACTCTGATATCAAAATATATATGAATATATTTCATTTATCCAAGCAGTGTAAGTGGCAACATCTCATTTCTATATTACTAGGTTACTACCTTAGTTTTCAACTTTTTTATATATAACAGAGACTTTACATTTAAGTAAGATACCAGAAGTTTAGTCTATCATCAGTACAAGTTGAATGTCTTTATCTGAAATACTTGGGGCTAGAAGAGATTCAATTTTTTAAATTTTGGAATATTTACATATGTATAAGACATCTTTAGGGATGGGTCCCAAATCTGAACATGAAATTTATTTATATATTTACATACCTTATAAACATAGCTGGAAAGTAATTTATAAAAGGTGTTGGTGTACCTGCATTTTGACTGCAACCTACTACCTAAAGTCTTGTGTGGAATATTCCACTGTGGCATCATGTCAGCATGCAAAACATTTCAAATTTTGAAGCATCTCAGATTTTGGATTTTCAGACAAGGATACTCAATCTGTGTTACCAATTGTGGAATGTGGCACTGTTTAATACACCTGCTGGTTCAGATGTCTATTCTCTACATTTCTAGGACCTGGGAAGAACTAAAACAATCCTAGACACTTATATAAGGAAGAAGAAATAAGAATCTTAGTAAGTGGAAAACACGAAAGCTCTCCAACTTAACATTAAAAAATAACAAAACAGCTGGAGATGTGGCTCAAGTGGCATAACACCTGCCTTGCAAGGAAGAAGCTCTGAGTTCAAACCCATTACTGCTTTAAAAAGAAAAAAAAAAAAACAGCAGGGCATGATGGCACACACCTGCAATCCTAGCACTCAGGAGGCTGAAGCATAAGGATTAAGAGTTTGAGAACAGCAAAACCCTATCTCAAAAATTCAAAAACAAAGTACCCTACCTATAAATTCAATGCTTCACTATTTGTCAAAATTAAAAATACATATACCCTTCAAGTTTTGACAGTTCAAATCCCAGGACTACACTCTTATACTTACAAATGTGAAAAATAAATTATATACAATTATTGTCATTACATCATTAATTATAACAGAAAAAGATCAGAAAGAACCTAAATGCCCATCAACAGGCAATAGGTAAGGGCCAATGGAATGGCTCATGTGGAAGAGTGCCTGCCTAGCAAGTATAAAGCTCTGAGTTCAAACCCCAATACCATGCAAAAAAATAAGACAAACAAAGAGGCAATAGGTTAAATGTTAGGTATAACCCTACAACAAACATTTTAGAATATAACTAATTTAAAACTGCTATGTTTTAGTTTACCCATCTAATTCAGCAGCAGTTACTAAATATCAAATACATTGAAATGTCCAGAATAGTCAAATGTATAGACAATAGTTTAGAAGGGCTAGAAGCAAAGCTCAAGTCATAGATTACTTGCCAACAAAGAGCAAAGCCCTGAGTTCAAAACCCAGTACCACCCCCCCAAAAAAGGGAAGTAGTTCTATATGGAATGAAATACATTCATTCGTAAGATTTTATTATTCTATGAATAAAACAAGGTGTTATAATGTGATCAGTATAATGCAATTTGCATTTTTATACAAAACATACACTTTATTGGCTTATATATAAAATACAGAAGAGACTAGTTGATGGTGGTCTATTTTAAGAAGAAACTGGATTACTCTCTGCCCTTTTTGTACTTCTAAATATTGTAAAATATGTATGTGTTTGCTACTTTAAAAATATATATTTTTTAAAACACAGGAAGCATAAGTAGGAGGATCGTGATCCATGCTGACCTGGGCAAAAAAAAAGAAAAGTGAGATCCTATCTGAAAAACAACTAAAGCAAAAAGAGCTGGGGTGTGGCTCAAGTGGTAGAGCACCTACCTAGCAAGTATTTACTGAGTTTAAACCACAGTACTGCCAAAAAAAAAAAAATCTGGTGAGGAATCTCACCATAGAATTAATTAATCCATAGAATTTTATTATTTCTATTTGTACTTTGTTTCTGATCAATGAAGCACATTCATACTATGAAACCCACTAGATACATGTATACAGTCAACATAGTATAATAGAGGTCATCTATTAAAAAGCCACATTTTAGCAATAGGTATAAAATAGTACTGAAAAGTAAGCTCTTTAAAAAAATGCTTGAACTGGAGGTGTGGCTCAAGCAGTAGTGAGCCTCCTTTGCAAGCACAAAGCCCTGAGTTCAAACTTCAGTCCCACAAAAAGAAAAAAAACTATACCACACTTCCCTAACACTCTCATAACTTCCACTATACAGTTGTTCCAGTACCTTGACAACTAATTCATTCTAAAAATTAAACTTTCCCTCTTCAGCATTTCCACAGTATGATATCCACCTCTATTTTACATTCACTACATAACATTGCAATTATTTGTTTATATGTCCAACTTTCCCACTATGGTCAGCTCCTTGTGGCAGAAATATTTTATTATTTTTATAACTGCAGTATCTAGCATAGTCCTTGCACATAGGAAGACACTCCAGGAGGCTTGCTGCATGAGTTAATGTGAATTATCCTGAAACTACTCAGCTTATAACTCATCATGAACTAGATTTAACTCTTCATTGCCCACACTATACTATCCCAATCCTAGAAAGAGAGAAAAGTAAACACATGCTGTTTCAAACCACAAACAATTCATACCGTAGATGGCTAATCTCAGCCAACACTAAAACTGACTTATTTGCATCAACATGCACAATAGAAAGCAATGACTAGATAATGACAATGCAGCTTTTATATTGTTTTTGCTTTTTGTTAAAAAATGGGTGCCTCTAAACTATGGTTGTTTATCAAGTATTTCAGGAGAGACTATTATCAGGAGCTAGTCTCTGTGCCTATATAATGAACTGGGATGAAGGCACATTCTGGAGCAAAAGAGTTAACAGGAAACTGATAAATCTCTGATATTTGCTGCCTCAACATGATTGCTAAATAAAACACCAACTGTAGCCATGCATGGTGGCTCATGCCTGTAATCCAGAGATCAAGATTGAGGTTTGAGGCTAGCCAGGCAAAAAGTTCATGAGACCCTCCCCTAAACCAATAAAAAGCTGGGCGTAGTGGCTCCCACCTGTCATCCCAGCTATGTGGGAAGCATAAATAAGAGGATCATGATCAAGGCCAGCCTGGGCATAAGCACAAGACCTTATGTGAAAATAACTAGAGCAAAAAAGGCTGGGGACATGGCTCAAGTGATAAAGCACCTGTTTAGCAAACACAAGGCCCTAAGTTTAAACCCCAGTAACACCAAAAAAATACCCAAACAAACAAACACAACACTGATTCTAGATTCCCAGCTGGAGCCATAAGGACTTGAAGAGAAGGGTGGCAAAGGTTATACTGCAGTCCATTCTTTCTCACAGACAGCCAGTGACCCAAAATGGGGTCTTTTTAACACAGGTGACTAATTTGTAAATACCTGTAGTGAACTAAGACAGAAATTCCATGTCTAACTGGCAGATGTATATGAAAACATTTTATTCAAAAGTCAAGCAAATCCCTAACAAAAATTTCTAGCAGCCCTGCTAATGAATGATAATGCAAATTTGAGTTTTAGCACCTTTTTAGCACCCTCTTCATAAACCCCGGCAATTTTATCAACTAGTAACTTGACAAAAGGCAAATAATATAAAAGTAAAAGTTAGCCAAAAAAACAAACAACAAAAAAAAGTTAGAAAATTGGAAAAGTTCCAGATACTTAGATAGAGCACAGTAGCAAAAGGATGAAAACACCTAAATTTTTTTTTTCTTGGTACTTGTTTTATTTCTTTTGTTTTGTTTTGGTTTTGTTGTTGTTTTTTATTCATCTATTCATGTGTGCATACAATGTTTGGGCCATTTCTCCCCCTACTCCCTCTTCCTCCCCTCCCTACCCCCCCTTTCCAGGCAGAACCTGTTCTACCCTTATCTCTAATTTTGTTGAAGAGAAAGTATAAGCAATAATAAGAAAGACAAAGCATTTTTGCTAGTTGAGATAAGGATAGCTATTCAGAGAAATTCCTAGCATTGCTTCCATGTACAAATGTGTCACAACCCAAGTTGATTCATCTCAAACTGACCTTTTCACTAGTTCCTGATCCCCTTCTCATACTGACCTCTGTCACTTTAGAAAACACCTAAATCTCGAAATGATTATGAAGAAAATTTTACAGGGCATTATTTTTAAGCTTTTCATAAACTGGCAGTGTAAACTTTGCAAGTCACTCTGAATCCTAGGTCACCGTTTTCTAAACTAAAAAACAATTACTGGGATAAATGATCTCCAAGGTCCTCTTTACCTTAAGTTATTCCATAATTAAGGCAAAATTTTTAATGAAAGATTTGATCTAAAATATGAAATACATGGGATCTTTTTCTAGTCACCAGTTCATTACTTGATTCTTTTCATAATCATTTTAGGCCATGCTGCCCAAACATCAATTAATGACTACCAATTAATGGAGAAATTAGTTTCTTTTTCTATAAAACAAATCATAATCAATAAAGTTATTTTAGTAAAAGGTTTTCACTGACCTGGTGCAACTACATTCACTCTAATCTTCTTCCTTGCCACCTCTTTAGCAAGCGCACGTGAAAATCCAACTAATCCTCCTTTACTGGCACTGTACACACTCTGACCAGAATTGCCTTTTAAACCAACAATACTGCCTACAAGAAAAAACGAAATATAAGTGAATTTAAATCAATCAATGGGATTATTTGAAAATTCAGATAATATATAGTTATAAACAAAAAAGTAAAATTCATTTTACTGTATCCTTATTACTTTGAGTAGTAAAAGTAGCCTGCTCCAGACAAATACAGAAAACAGGATCTGAAAGAAGTTGATGTAAAACCAAGAGTGCCAAGAAAGAGGCTAAGTGGCAGGGACTAGTCTTAGTTTGTGGTTCAAGTGGTAGAGCACCTATCTATCAAGCCTGGGGTCCTGAGTTCAATCTCCAGTAATGCCAAAATAAATAAATAAATAAAAGAGACCCATTCTAACCTCTGACTAGGTCAGATATAATAAAATTTCTGTGGCTTATAATGACTTCCAGCAGGAAGAAACTGAAGCCAGAAAAAGTAAAGGATGATTAATTTTATGATTTTATAACCACAGACATAAGGAACTATTCACTTTCATCTAAAAGATTATAGTTCATTTGAAGATAAAGCTCACTAAATTTGAACTATTGTCAATCTAAACTGGTGAAGCTTCAATTATAAACTTTCCATAAAAGTGTAAATTTGCTACTTTCAGTGATATAATTTCTACTGCCTGCTAAAGATACATGTGACTTCATTTAATGAATATGCAAAAAAATTTATAATTCAAATATCAACCTCAGGCAAATAAATGTTTGCAAAACAGAAGTGAGGAAGTAATTTTCAGCACCACTAATCTATACTTGTAAAACTGAGCAACAGCTTCACAAAATTTTTAAAGTAATTTTACTTTAGGAAAAAAATTCCACTTTTTTATTACAGTCAAGCCCAATATTAAAATATTTCCCTACATTATACAGTCATGTATCACTTAATGATGGCAACACATACTGAGAAGCACATTATTGGGTGATTCACAGTTGCGAGACATCATAGAATATATTTAACATAAACCTAGATGACATACTGCTACACCTAAGCTATATGGTATAGCCTTTTGTTCCTACCCTACAAACCTGTACAACATATTACTGTACTCAATACTGGAGGCAACTGTAAAGCAATGTTAAGTATTTGTATATGTAAACATACATAAACATAGAAAGGACACAGTAAAAATATGAGGCAATAGGAATTGTTCATCTTCATTGTAATTATGGGGCCTTTGTAATATATGTGGTCCTTCAATGACTGGAACATTGTTATGGGGCACAAGACTGTATATTGTATGCCAGCTAAGGACAAAGGAAGAAAATTGTGATGCATGGAAAGAAAACATCAGGCCATGAAAATGCAGATGTATAGTAAAAGGGGTATTTGGGAGAAAGAGGAACAGAGAGTCAAAAAAGAAAGAAAATTATAGGCATGGAAAAAAGGCCAAACAGGAAGCTTTAGTAGTTTTGGCTCTGCCACACACTATTAAGTTCATCTGGTCAAAAAGTGAGAACTTCTGAAATATCAGAAGTAGTTTAAAGTAGCGCTTTTTGTAATAAGCTTCTCTTAATGTAAAATAAGTAAAAAGTAAAACATTACTTTTAGCAAGATTGTAGAAGTTTTGCATACATTTCAATGATTAACTTGGTTTTTTGAAATATATCTAAAAAAAGAGGTATTTTAGAGTTTAAAAATATATTCCATGATACCAAATTATAGATATAGACCTATGTGCCAGTGTATGAGAACCCAAAATCATTATTGGCTGTGTTAGAAGGCAAGGGTCAACTCATTCACTAATCCCGTCCAATAGAAAACTGACCTCTCACATGGGTTATTTACTTTAATGGAGCAGCATCCACTTTTGTGGCCTTTTAAGATACTATCACTGAAAAATAAAAAGCAGGTACATGCTACTATTTTCAAATCACTAAACTGAAGTAAAATTTCCAGTCATTTTGCATTTTAAGTTCTACATCCATCAACTTCAGTTAATCTTCCCCATGGTTCGATGAAGTGAAGAGTAAAGGTTACTTAGCTCTAAAAAAGTAAAGTTTTAGTTTCCTTTAAATGTCTGTGCTAGATATACAGGGGCTCCTGCAACTGCTACCATTATTATTTAGCCCCGCTGTCTACAAGTTTTAATTATTTGTCCATATTTTTTAAATTAGGTTTCACATAAAAATTGGAATGCCCAACTTACTTAAAATATCAAAGTTGTTGGCAAAATTAACCACATTCATGCACAGAAACAATCTACTGGATCTATGCACCGGTGGCCTCCCCCATTTCATACAGCCTCTGGACACTGAATCTAGGTATCTTTTGTCATGTGTCACGACTTATGGTGACATTTTCCAACAAGTGTTCCACCACTTGAGTTATACATCCAGCCCTTCTGTCATTTTCTAACACATGGTGATGTCAGTGTCATTCATTTAATACCTACCTGACCCCTCTAGAGATACGAATTTGTGACTCCTATTTTATCCATTGATTAAATCCTTTTTTCCACAGACAATACAAAATTGTCCAGTTTTACAAGTAAGCTACAAATTAGTGGATTGAATGCTTTTATGGTGCAATGGGATAATTACAAACTCACAAAGATGAAAACTCACCTACGTTAACAATAGACCCTCTCTGTTGTTGAATCATAGTCCTCAAGGCAGCTTTACATGTCAGCATGGAGCCCAAGAGGTTTGTATGAAGCTGCGATATCATATCTTCAGTTTTTGTTCTTACTAAAAGACTATCCCTTCAAAAATAAACAGCATGTGAGTTAATAACTAGATAAAACAAATAAAAAGTCAAAACATATGTAACATTTTGGTTAAAAGAAGAGTGTAAGAAGGGCTTTATATCTGAGTTAGAATACCAGGAGAATCTCATTTTGAACTTGACTTGGGAACCACTAGAATAACTGGTGAGCCAGAAAGGATCCACTTGGAAGGCAGATTCCTATTCACTCTTTGCTAGAGTGGCAAGTATTCCTAACTGCTAAAAGTAGTATCATATAGCCACAATATTTTGAATGGCCTGAGGAACTGCCATTTTTCCCTTGTTTAACAAGACATTTGGTATGTTATTCTAAATATTTCTCCTAAATTCATCTTTTAAATATAATATCTACCCTATGACTCCATTAGTATTAATTTTTACATTGGCATGATGAGGGAACTCTGAACAGTGGTTTCCTGTAAGGAAGTTTTAATTGAGAAGAAACTGACCACGTCTTCTGGAGTGCTGGAAATGTTCCATAGCTTAACATTGGTAATGATTACAATGTTAAATTATCAAACTATAAAAGAAAACAATATGTGAATTGACAATGTTTTAAAATACCTACTTTTTCTTTCAGTTAGATATAAAACAGCTTAATACATTAGCTCATATTAATCAAAGACCCCTGTTAGGAAAAAAAGTAAAAAAAAAAAAGTTAGAAATTTACTTAAATCCGTGAACCAACCTGTTAACACCAGCTGCATTTACCAAGAAATTTATTTGACCTAAATGTTTCTCCATCTCTTCAAATGTATTTTGAACATCATGTTCTTTAGAAACATCACAGCTAAGTGCCAAATGATTCCCTACAAAACAAAGTTAAATTACTTATAAAGTACACCTTGAATTTTGAATTTATTCAATATTCACTTGTTACGCAACCACTATGTGGTAGGCTGTGTTAAACCTAGAGACAAATAAGTGTATCACGTGTCCTGATCCCTTGGTCTTAACTAATGAAACTGGAGTGGGAGTGGATGGGGAAACAAGAAGAAGTAAAGTAACATTAAAGAAAGCTAATTTTTAAGGTTTTTGGTTGTCTAGGTGGAGTGGGGCATATAGTTCCATTTACTTGGAATGCAGAAGCAGGAGGCTTACTGGAGCCCTGTCTGGGGAGGGAGGGAAGGAGGCAAAGAGGGAGGGAGAAGGGAAGAAAAGAAGACTTAAAATCTTTTAAATTAAGCCAGGCACTGGTGGCTCACGCCTATAATCCTAGCTACTCAGGAGGCAGAGATCAGGAGGCTTGTGGTTCAAAGCCAGTCCCAGTAAATAGTTGGTAAGACCCTATCTTAAAAAACCCCTCACAAAAATAGGGCTGGTGGAGTGGCTTAAGGTGAAGGCCCTGAGTTCAAGTTCCAGTACCACAAAAAAGAATCTTAATAAAAACCTTTGTTTTTATTTTTTAAAATGGGGGCCCCTTTTCGTATTTATAATAATTTGTAGGATTCATATAATAATACTTATAGCTTTGACACTGAACCCATGCTACCCAACTCAACAGTTTTAAGGGGTTTGTATTCCTTTTTTATGAAATTTATGTCTAATTCTCTTACATTGAATTGGCTTATTTGACCCTGAAAATGAGCTCCAGAGTTTCTTTTTTTATTCAATATTAGAAATACACTACTGCACATATAATACAATGACTATTATTCAAGTCTGACCATCAGGAGAGATGAGACAACAGGGGAATCTTTTTTTTTAAAGCTAAAACTAAACGCTACATGCAAAAAAAATTTTTTCTACTAAAAACAACTGGTACCTCTCAAAAATGTCCACTTTAAAAAAAAAATGTTTAAATGCCACAGTGCCTGTGATCCTAGCACTGGGGAGGTTGAGGCAGGAGGATCTCAAATTCAAGACCACATTGGCTTACACAGCAACCCTGTCTTGAGAAAGCGACAGAGAAGGATACAAATGGAGCACAACTTCTCCTGAATGCATGTTGCTGTAATAACAATCATAAAGGAAAACAATTTTTTGTGGCTCAAGTGGTAGAGCACCTGCCTAGCAAGCATGAGGCCCTGAGTTCAAACCCCAGTACCACACACACACACACATACAGAAGAAATCAGGTACATCTATACTCTAAAATGTAGAATTTAGGGGCAAGAGACTGGGGTTTGAACTCAGGTCCTTGAGTTTGCAAGGTGGGTGCTCTATCAGTTGAACCACGCCTCCAGTCTATTTTGCTCCAGTTTTTTGGAGATGGGGTGTCTCGAATTACTTGCCCAGGCTGATTCAAACAGCAATCCTCCCAAGTACCTAGTATTACAAGCATGAACCACCAGTGCGTGGCTAGAATTATTCTAAAGCTGAAACAATAGCCTATTTTCTGCCTGACCTTGCCAAATAGGTTTACACTAACATTATCTCCTCAAGCCTTTGGAAACAGTAATATTTTATCAAAGAAAACCAATCACTCATGATTTAAGGAAGTGAAATGCCCGACAATATCACCTGTGTCTCACTCTGGGATTTCTTGGTGGGTCCACAACTAACCCTTTAAAAGTGTTTTGGTTCTGTTTGTGGTACTGGAGACTGCATCCAGGGCCTAAAGCTTAGGAGGCAATCACTTAGCACTTGATCTAAACCCCCAGGTCATTTGTTGTTTTGTTTATGAGGGTCTAACATTGCCTGGGCTGGCCTCTAACTTTCAGTTCTCCTGTCTCTGCCTCCCTAGTAGCTGAGATTACAGGCGTGCACTATAATGGTGGCTTAAGTAACCAGGTAGGGAGCACTTTTTCCTTCCTGTCAGAATGGCAATGAATAGGAGCTGCCAGAAGCATTCACTGAAATTCTCGAGTTTGTAACTTTAGAGAGTTCAATTATTTCCCCAAACCATGGAAACAATGGGGCTGAAGTGGTGATACCAAACCAATCAGTAACGTTACTTTAAAGGTAAGAGGTATCACCAGAAGAGCGCACGTCTGCAACCCCAGCACTTAAGAGGCAGGGACTAGAGGATTGTGTGTTCAAGACCAACCCAGGCTACAACGGTGAGACCTGTCTCAAAATATAAAAGCAATAGACATAAGATAAACCCCCCTCCCAGGGCTCTATTTTTCCCAGTGCCTGAAAGGAAATGACGTGTATTTTTCCTCCATTCTAGTAATTAAATAGCACCCTATTATCTCTCAAGCCTCCTATATCCTTCTACCATCAAAACTTAAATTTGCAAAATAATGACTAATCCCTTATTAATAATCAGGGGAAAACATGAAGTTGGAATGTAATAAAAGGGATTTGGTAAAACAATTGAGTTAAAACTAGCAAAAACCCTTGGTCCTTCTTATTGTTTATCCTCTCTCTTCAACAAAACTAGACATAAGAACAAAACAGTTTCTGCTTGGAAGCGAGGGGGTGGGGGGACAGGAGGGGGGCGGGGGGGAGGGGGGAAGGGAGGCGGCGGGGGGGAAGGGGAGAGTAATGACCAAAACGTTGTATGTACATATAAATAAAAGAAAATTTTTTTAAATTGAGTTATTTACAAAATGTACCAGAACAAATTAACAATGTATTGAAGTGGTTAATGGATGCAGCAGCGCAAGCCAGATCCATTTATCTTTTGATTGGTATTCAGAAGGGTTTCCCTTTGGAACCCCGCTTTGTGCCTTCGCACCGGGCAGGGACAGTCCTCAGCAGCAGCCCCTGACCCCTGGTCAGACAGGGCGCCCGGGCCCGCGCCCTTTTTCCTACATACAAAGTTAACCACGGCGTGGTCGGCTCTCTCCTGCCAGATGCCAAGTCACAGCAGCTCCTCTGGGTTAGCACCAGGTGCAGGGAGGTGGCCTGACAGGCCGCCCCGGGGCAGGTTCTGCCCACGATCCACGCCGGGCCTCCGGGCCGCGCCCACAGGACTTGCATGTCTCCACCAGGCGTGGGGCAGCGGCCTCAAAGTTGCACAAATCCAGATCGCTACCTACCGCCGAGCTCACCGGCGGCGGCTTTGGCCACGTCCAGATTCCTGGCGATGATCGCCAGTCGGTAGCCTTTCTGGGCCATTAACTGGGCTACTGCCTTGCCAATACCCCGGGAGCCTCCAAAAATAGCACAGACTTTGTTCATCTTGGACCTGGGTCGCAATTCAAAGAAAAGAAGGCTAGGGGAAGCTTTCTCTTTCCAGGTTCTCTCGCTTTTAACCAATCTCAGCTTCAAACACACAAAACCCAAATCGCTGCAGAGAGACCCCGGCCGACACTCGTCCAGCCGCCGGTCCCGAAGATGACAGAAGCAGGGGCCACGAGTAAAACGTCAGCACGTCGACGCCAGCACGCAGGATTCACCGTCTTCGGCGCTTGACGTCAGCATGCACAGACTCCCCACTGCGGCGCTCTGGAACCGAGAGAGCTCGGTTGCTGGAGGACGGGCTTTGAGCTGTTTTGTTGCATTCTGGGAATTGTAGTCTTTACTCAGACAGGCATGGGACCTGAGCGCATGCGCAGTGAGAGATACCCGCGCTCTAGAGGATTCCTGTTTTTATCCTGGGACGTGGTGGACGTGATTTTAGCTCAGGTGCCTAGTCATCCTAGTTGGCTCAGAACTAACAGCCTTGTCAAGATACTGGGCTTTCCCCAGCAGACTGTTGTTGATCACGTAATTAGGATCAACAACCTAGAATATACACCATTGGGCGTGAACTTGTCCCAGCCCCAGTGTCTACCTTACACCCAGGTTTTCGCTGCAGACAAAGCCTGTTGAAGAAATGCTCCCCTTGGGCCCGCGCGGACGTGCGCACCTGTAATCTGTGGTCCCAGCTAGGCGGGAGGCACAGGTAGGAGGATCACAGACCAAGGCCCGCCTGGGCAAAAACGGAGACCCTATCCAAAAAAATAAAGAAAAAAGGATGGACTGGGGGCGTGGCTTAATTGGTAGCACGCTGGGCTAGCAAATGCTAGGCCCTGAGTTCAAATCCCAGTACGGGGCGGAGGGGGGTGGAGAAGAGTCCCCAAGTGTCTGAAATCATACCAAAACCTGATTGAGTACCTCTTCCAAGTTGCTGCACAAATAGGCTTCTCCACCCACAGATATCACTGTCAAGAACACCAAATAAAAGAAGCTCAAAATATGTTGATTGAATGTTTTGAAGTCTTTCAAATCAGGAGGCTAAGACAGGAGGATGAGCTTTGAAGGCCAGCCTGGGCTCCAAAGGGAGACCCTGTCTCAAAAACAAACAAAACAAAAAGGAATGGATGAATATTGACAAAACTGGGTTCCTAAACTTCTAAATAAGATGTGCTATACTCTGGTCTCTCTTCAGACTGTATATATCACCTTTTACTAAATAAGGGTGCTCTGGGTGTTCTGAGGGTTACCATAACAGTGTGAAAAGGAAGCATTTCTTGAAATAGTGTCATTGTACTAGATTCAGAAAAGTATGAGCTATGACCCTTACCACTAAAAAATATGCAACCAGGGGCTGTTGTACATGTCCTAGGTAATAAAATCACTTAGTAAACTGCAAAATTAACACAAGAACTCAGAGGAAAAGGAAGCCAATGCAGACTTGACTTGAAGGAGTACATGGGAAAATTGGGTTTAAGGGCTGAATGAGGTTTGACAAAAAAAAAAAAAAGAAAGAAAAAAAATGACTGTAAGCAAGTTGCACACTATTTTTAAAGATTACTTTTTATTCCATCTAGATCTAAAAAGGATTTGAAATGGCTTGCAAAAATACATAAGTAATGTTTTGTTTTGTTTTGCTTTGTTTTGTGAGATAAGGTCTTGCTACTTAGCCCAGGCTGGCCTCAAACTCATGATCCTCTCTCTTCAGCCTTCCAAGTGATGAGATTACAGGCTTGTCCCAATCTCTGAGTAGAGCAAATCATTTTATTTTTATTCTTATTCTTTTTTTTTGGCAGTACTGGTTTTGAACTCGTGGCCTTATGTTTGCTAGCAATCTACCACTCTACCACTTGAGCCATTCTGCAAGCCTTAGAATAAATCATTTTAGAATCAAAAAGGACTACCCTTAATTGTCCCATCTTCCCCAAGATCAGGACAAAAAAGTGAGGTCAGTGGAAAACCTAATACAAATAAAGATATGCTATAAGAATCTATTTAGGGCTGAAGATGTAGCTAATTGGTAGACCACTTTACTAGCATATTCGAAGTCCTGGGTTTGATCCCCAGCACTGCCAAAAAACAACCAAAAAAAGAATCTAGTCAGTACTACAGAAATGCATATTTGACTATAATAGCCAAAGGAACCATGGAAATATAATTAATTACATGTAGTAATTTCTATAAGAAATAAGTATCTTGGCTGTGCAGCAAAGAGATCTGAGCAACACTACCTCCTTATGGATGATACAGAAAGACATATTAAGCATTCTAGTAGACAATTCTTTTATAGTATCTTTTGCACTTTATTAAAAGCAAATACAAGGAGAAGAGGTGCAAGCGAAGGGAATGCGTAATACGTTTAACAAAATAATAAGGGAAAATTTCCCAAATCTAGAGAAAGATATTCCCATACAGATGCAAGAGGCCTCCAGAACACCAAACAGACCAGATCAAAATAGAACTACCCCACGACATATCATCATTAAAACAACAAGTTCAGACTAAGGAAAGAATATTGAAGGCTGTAAGAGAGAAAAAACAAATAACATACAAAGGTAAACCCATCAAAATCACAGCAGACTTCTCAACAGAAACATTAAAAGCAAGAAGAGCGTGGGGTGAGATCTTCCGGGCACTGAATGAAAATAACTTCAACCCCCGGATACTCTAGCCAGAAAACTATCATTCAAAATAGATGGAGCAAAAAAAGTCTTCCATGATAAGCAGAAACTAAAACAATATGTGATCACAAAGCCACCACTACAAAGGATTCTTCAAGGGATTCTGCACAAAGAAAGTGAAACCCAACTTAACCATGAAAAGACAGGCAGCACCAAACCACAGGAAAAGAAAAAGCAAGACAGTAGAGAGTAACCTCAACTTAGGTACACACAATCAAACCTTCAAACAACTAAGACAACTAAATGACAGGAATCACCACATACTGACACTTAATGTTAACGGACTTAACTAAGCCATCAAAAGGCACTGCTTGACAAAATGATTTAAAAAGGAAGATCCAACAATTTGTTGCTTACAGGAGACCCATCTCACTGACAGAAATAAGCATAGGCCAAGGATGAAAGGCTGGAAGATTTCCCAAGCCAATGGCCCCCGAAAACAGGCAGGAGTAGCAATACTTATCTCTGACAAAGTAGACTTCAAACCTACATTGATCAAACGAGATAAAGAAGGACATTCCATACTAATAAAAGGGGAAATATACCAAAAGGAAATAATAATTATCAACCTGTATGCACCCAATGTCAACGCACCCAATTTCATCAAACATACCCTGAAAGACCTAAAAGTATATATAAACACCAACATAGTGGTTGTGGGAGACTTTAACACCCCATTATCATCAATAGATAGGTCATCCAAATAAAAAAATCAATAAAGAAATCCAAGATCTAAAATATGCAATAGATCAAATGGACCTAGTTGATGTCTACAGAATATTTCATCCAACTTCTACACAATATACATTCTTCTCAGCAGCCCATGGAACCTTCTCCAAAACAGATCATATCCTAGGGCACAGGGCAAGCCTCAGAAAATACTAGAAAATAGAAATTATAGCATGCATTCTATCAGACCTTTAAAGAAGAACTGATACCAACCCTCCTTAAACTGTTACATGAAATAGAAAGGGAAGGAAAACTGCCAAACACATTTTATGAAGCCAGTATTACACTTATCCCCAAACCAGGCAAAGACACCTCCAAAAAGGAGAACTATAGGCCAATCTCCTTAATGAACATTGATGCAAAAATCCTCAACAAAATAATGGCAAACCGAATTCAACAACACATCAAAAAGATTATTCACCACGACCAAGTAGGCTTCATCCCAGTGATACAGAGGTGGTTCAACATACAAAAATCAATAAACATAATAAACCGCATCAACAGAAGCAAAGACAAAAACCACTTGATCATCTCAATAGATGCAGAAAAAGCCTTTGATAAGATCCAACACCATTTCATGATAAAAGCTCTAAGAAAACTAGGAATAGAAGGAAAGTACCTCAACATTATAAAAGCTATATATGACAAACCTACAGCCAGCATTATACTTAATGGAGAAAAACTGAAACCATTCCTTCTAAAATCAGGAACAAGACAAGGATGCCCACTATCTCCACTCCTATTCAACCTAGTACTGAAATTCCTAGCCAGAGGAATTAGGCAAGAAGAAGGAATAAAAGGAATACAAATAGGTAAAGAAACTGTCAAAATATCCCTATTTGCAGACGACATGATCCTATACCTTAAAGACCCAAAAAACTCTACTCAGAAGCTTCTAGACATCATCAATAGCTATAGCAAGGTAGCAGGATATAAAATCAACATAGAAAAATCATTAGCATTTCTATACACTAATAATGACAAACTGAAAAAGAATGTATGAAAACAATTCCATTTACAATAGCCTCAAAAAAAATCAAATACCTAGGTGTAAACCTAACAAAAGATGTGAAAGACCTCTACAAGGAAAACTATACACTTCTGAAGAAAGAGATTGAGGAAGACTATAGAAAGTGGAGAGATCTCCCATGCTCATGGATTGGTAGAATCAACATAGTAAAAATGTCGATACTCCCAAAAGTAATCTACATGTTTAATGCAATTCCCATCAAAATTCCAATGACATTCATTAAAGAGATTGAAAAATCTATGTGAAATTTATATGGAAACACAAGAGGCCACGAATAGCCAAGGCAATACTCAGTCAAAAGAACAATGCAGGAGGTATCACAATACCTGACTTCAAACTATATTACAAAGCAATAACAATAAAAACAGCATGGTACTGGCACAAAAACAGACATGAAGACCAGTGGAACAGAATAGAGGACCCAGATATGAAGCCACACAACTATAACCAACTTGTCTTTGACAAAGGAGCTAAAAATATACGATGGAGAAATAGCAGCCTCTTCAACAAAAACTGCTGGGAAAACTGGTTAGCAGTCTGCAAAAAACTGAAACTAGATCCATGTATATCACCCTATACCAAGATTAACTCAAAATGGATCAAGGATCTTAATATCAGACCCAAACTCTAAAGTTGATACAGGAAAGAGTAGGAAATACTCTGGAGTTAGTAGGTATAGGTAAGAACTTTCTCAACGAAACCC